GGATGTGCAATTTTTTGGAAATCGGAGAAGTTAGTGCAAACAAGTTTAATAGAATTTCACTTTAATTTTTATATCTCTAACGAACTTTTTTCTAAAGCAAACTCACCTTCAGATACTTTGTTAATAAAAAAATTTCCCTTTTTTTCAGGTTTGAAATGGAACGGGAACATCTGATTGAATTCACTCAAGTGGTCGTCAAGAAAGCTTCGACATCAGAACACATGCTCAACAGGGTCATGCCTAGGGACAACATCGCTCTATGTGCTGTATTGCGCATCAAAGAAAACGTTTATAATAATCGTGAGTTAGCTTTTGCTGTTTATTCTTTTTTGATTTCTGTAAATTTTTTGATTTTTTACTGCTTTTTTACACTATGAATCATTTCTATAGGACGAATGACGATGGCTGCAGCGGATAATGTAGTGGGTTCACCGCTCGTTGTTTGTACTGCACATATTCATTGGGATCCCGAATTGTGTGATGTCAAATTGGTCCAAACTTTGATGCTTGCCCACGAACTCTATAGACTCCTTGAAGAGGTCCTTAATCATATTTTATAGCGTTATTTGTATATTAAAGTGTTCTTTAGGTGGCTGAACAATTTCGGATAACACCGCAACAAACACCGGTTCTCATATGTGGTGATTTTAACTCGCTGCCAGATTCAGGTGATCACTCATCTCTGCATTTATCTGGTCTTTCTTTAGCCTCAAATTCTAGAATTGCTATCTTTATGCAACATTTCTTTTTTACAAGTAAAATTTCTTATACGCGAATATGCGGAAGACTCTGACAGCTTTGATCCTAATCTTATGTTCTTTTCCCTCAATCTTATTGATCTTCTGCCTCAGAATACAAGTTTCTAGCATAGGCATGTAGCAAATCCTTGCTTTTTCTTTGCAATGTAGATCCTAGATCTAATCTAGTCTACATGTTGCAGTCGTTTGAACACTTTTTGCATAGCGCCTAAGTTGAACACTTATGCGCAAGAAAGCTCAATGTCATCCTCAGCGAAACCAGATGCGTTTGATTTACTAGGACGATGACGTTGTTGCGCATGTTCCCTTCGGCAGCGCATGGCGTCGAGTGCGCAAGTTTTGTTGGAAAGTTTTGCGTAGTGATGAAAAGAAATCTCACTAAAAACGATGAAGTGTGCTTCTCGACTGCATATGCCATGGTATCCGCTAAATAAGAGAACATCTCTTAGAGGCAGTGCCTCGGGGAAATTGCGATTGCGGGCTTTCCACGACTACATGGCCTTCTGGACCAGCTG